GAGAGTCTTGTTGAGGGCGAGAATCTTTCCAAAAGCCCCACACCCGCTGCAGGTATTCTTGGAAAGATTTAGACCGAAGTAGGGAGGTATTAAGTTTGTAGTAACTAGCCCCCTAGTCATGTCGTTTACGAAAGGTCCAGACTGCCATACACATCCTATGATCCAGACTTGGGTATGGGTTGGTCGACAGTATAGCCACGTGAGCCCTCCTCCCAAGTCATCCGATGCGAGGATTAAATCGATCCGGGATTTAGATAGTCTGGCAGAGTCATTGTTACGGAAGCAAGTAAAGGTTTTTTCAGTTGGGGCGCTCTTCCTGAAGGTGTCGAAAAGCGAGAGATAAGCACACAGATCTTTTAGCATCCGCTCATCCTCCTCTGCGTTGTGAGCGGTATTGGGGTGGACTTTCCATCGGTTTATCCATCTATCTGATGCAACGTTGAAGTCCCCGACTAAGATTATCGGGACTCAAGGGGTGAGAATTGTCTCAATTTTTCTGAAGAAGGTCTTTCTCTCCCAGGATGTGTTAGGGACGTATGAGGATACAATGCACACTACTTCTAGTTCTAGCATGCCCAACACCTTAACCCACCGACCACCCTCCTTATCTTGTTCCCAGCTAAGCACCTCTAACCGTGATTCGGACGGGATCCATATTGCCACCCCGACACTCCCCGGGCTGGGGGCGAAAGCTTGGTAGCCTTGAAAGGGCCAGACTTGCTTGTGCGCCCTGTAGTGCTCTGGTATGTTTATTAGGTAGGTTCCTTGAAAACAAACTACATCTGGCCATGTTCTTCCTCGAACCCCCCGCATTAAGTCCCACAACGCATTTTTTTTCTCTGGGTTGCGTGATGCTAAACCATTTACATTAACCGATCTAATGTCCAGGTCCGCTTGTTGAAGGGCGTGTTTCCATTTTTGGTTTTTGCCATACACCACTTCTACCCAGTCCATCATGGTCTATCGCAGGACACGCGTCCTATTGCCCTTCCATTATCTGCTTTTAAATGGTGACCATTCTTGTGCCTCCCAGTCGACCCCCTTATTCATGGTATTTTTTCGTAAGATTGTGCACAGGCATGTGAGTAGGTCATTTGTCGACCAGATGTTACTGGGTTTTATTTTGAGTTGTTGAGTGTCTAGAAGGGAGTTATGTGTGAGCCATTGGAGCCCTGCTTCCTTGTTGTCTTCGAATCGCACGTACAGATCCTTGTAGGTCATTTTCAGGCTCTCAGATGACACACTAATAGTGGTCATTGCTCCCGGTTCATAATGGTTTGTGAGAAAATCCGTAACCTCGTGGACCCGTAATGACCTATCCCTTTGCATGTGTCACCCGTGCAATGTCATTCCGCCATATGAGGGAGCATAAAAGTCTTCTGAATCTGCGGGCGACAGGCCTAACTCCCATTTTCTTGTTCTTTTTCTTATCGGGAGCACCAACATTTTAACCCCCTCCGACAGACTTTTGTGGTACAACCCCTTCTCAATGAGGTGTCGTAATTTTGAGCGCTTTGAGAGTCCCATCTCCTCTACTGTAGCCTCATTTTCTCCCTGTATGGTTTGTTTCATATGTCCGGTCTGTTGTGCGGGAACAGGGGGGTGGGGAAGGGGTTTGTCTATACGGCCTGGATTTATTGTCCCTTCGGGCGAATCAGGTGAACCTACTAGTGCGGGAGGCTGGATTTTTTTATGCACAATAATCCAGACTCTGTGTAACACCTGTAACCAATCCGTATCTGAGGTGAGGCTTTTCCCGAGGCTTGTTTTAGGCTGGGGCTCTCGTCCAAAAGAGTAAAAAGTCGCACATAAGCCTCATCCCAGTAGGAATTTGTTTGACCTGTGTACAGTGACCGGAGTTTGTCGATTAACCATTCTGCCAGACCCCTCAGCTTGGTCTCGGCATCCTCTTCCCCTTGTGACCCCCAGGCCTCGGGTGTGCTGTCCACCATTTCCTCGTCTGAGGGGCCCACCGGTGATTCCCAATCCATGGGTTGAGGGTCAGAAGCTTGAAAAAAGGGGTCTATTTTGGGGGGAGTTTCACTCGTGGCCGGAGGTCTTTCGGCAGTGTTCATTTTGGAAGATAGCTCGTATGGAGCGTGAGGCGCTTGAGAGGGTTCCAAAGCTACTATCTCCCCTACGGTAATCTCCCGGTGCGTACTTGGGTTCACAACCTCTGTTCCCCGGCCCAACTGGATTTCTTCCCTATTTGACATTACCCCCTTTCCCTTTCCCTCTCCGCCCCCCCTCCCTCTCCCCTTCCTCCCTTTATCGTTTGTGCACACTCACCCTGGCCAGGGGTCCCCTGCCTTTCTTGCGCCCTACCTCTCCCTCCCTCTCCATGATGCTTGATCTGCCCTGTTTCCTTTGGCAATGGTTCAATTGTTTTACTATCCTTTGTCTGTACCGAGCTTGCTATAGTCTAGAATCTATTTTCCAGCTTTTCTGGGCTCACACTCTGTAATTTACCGTGTTTGCCGGGGTGAGCTTTCTTTTTCGGGGTCGGGGCTTGCCATAGCTCTCCCAGGTCTATCGGGGTGATAAAATCATGGGGTCTGGGTTCTGGTCGAGGTCCAGACGTCATTTTGTTTGACCCGCTATGTTGTATCTGAGCCAGTGTATCCGTTTCCTTGGGAGGAGGTTGTCAGAGATCGGCGAGCGTATCCATATGTACCTCCACTGGTTTAGGGGGGATCCATTTGTCTAATGGTTTGGTGCTCCAATCCACAACCTCTCTTTTCTCCTATTCCCACCCTCTTACTCCACCTCCTTCTCGGGACTCATCCACGTACACCCATCCTTCATGGCATGCGTCAACAGTACTCCACCATGTGTTCTTGAAGGGATCGGGAATCAGACGGTCTGTGGATCTGATTCTTTTGGCCGGGTGGTGGGGGCAGTCAGATTCTGCCGGGAGGTGGCCATACGCCTGACATTTAAAACACCAACGCCTTGTTTTATGCGCCGTGTGAATTCTAAAATCTTTCCCTCCTACACGAAAGTGGATCACATCATCAATAGCGAACACGTGTCCTTTCGGTAGGTCCAGGGCCACCATGAGGTAGTCGTCCCTGGGGGCCATATGCGAGGGAAGAGGGTCAATGAAGTCTACAATCTCATATTTTTGGGCTAATTCCTGCACGAAAGCCCCTTGAATTTCAATAGGCACATGGCGAAACTCCACCCAATAATAATCCGTCATCAGTTGATCCCTTTTGTCCTCTGGTCCTTGCTGTTTCGGAGGGGACCAGGGCAAGATCCGAACTTCTGAACGCCCGCAGGGTATGCTTCGCCCTGCGTCCATGATGCGCTTATCCGAATCAAACATGCAAATCACCGTGAAAACCGTCGATGAGATAGGTTGGATCAGAAAAAAATCATGTGCGCCCTCCTCTGAACCTTTGAGGGTTGTAAGTCTTTTCCTGATCCACCCTACCTTATCATTGGCGGACTTATAGGCGGCGGCGTCATAAAAGACCCATGTGCTTGCATGACGGGTGTATATTGCATCCCTTTCCCTGATCACTTCACTCAGAAGGGCTTTTACCCTGTGCTTTCCCCCCCCTTGATTAATTATCTTATCATCCGGGGGAGCCAGAAATTTTGCAAGGAAGAAAGTTGACGCCGTGGCCAGGTTGTCCAGTGGGATTTCCAGTTTTTCTTCTCCATTTCTTTTGACCGAAAGGGTTTGCCCTGTGTACATTTTTTTTGAGGTTATCGGCCCATATCGGTGAAGGTCCTGAGATGCTTTGGACTTCTTTCCCTTTCTGTTGTTCTTTCATTTCCTTTAGCAACTCTGTCGGAGAGGGGGGGAACGAGACTGTAAACCCTGTGCGGAGTTATTGGGGGGAGGGTGAGAGGAGGAGGCATCTTCCGTGATCCCCATCTCCATCGTCCCCTTCCCTTGCCGGGGCCTCCAATCAGTCGAGTGATGACCCATGGCGCCTTGATACCATATTTTTTGCGGACGTCCTTTAACTTTTTCTTTCCTTGCTTCGTTTTTTAAACTAGCCATAATTGTCTTTTGTGCAGGAATCTATACTCACATGGGAGTTCCTTGCCTACTTGATGCCAAAAAAATCACCGAGATCGAGACACATGTATGTTCTAGATCAGGGTTAAATTTCAACACGTACAACCACGTTAGTAACCACCCAGTAACCGAAGTCAAGACACCTGTAATTTACATATTAGGGGAGAATTTCATAAAACCGCGTTAGAATTGCCCAGATCGAGCCACCTGTACTGTCACAGTTCAAGGGCAGAGCTCAGGGGAAGGTTCGAAAGCCTAGGGGTCACGAACTCTAGGGGGGGGAGTCGGGGCGTCAGAGGGGAGCTCGGGCAGTCGGGTTCGACGGTCGGATGGGGTTGCAACGTGGATCAGGTGAGGACGGGTAATGATCGAGATTGGGAAAGGCGATGTGGATTCAGGTCGGGGCGGGATATAAATCGTGGCGATGTCGGATGGGATGGGGGACCGGAGGCAGTGGAGGCAGGGGTCGGCGGGGGGACAGTCGGGATGCCACATGTACTGTCACAGTTCAAGGGAAGAGCTTAGGGGAAGGTTCGAAAGCCTGGGGGCCACGAAGTCTAGGGGGGGTAGTCGGGCCGTCAGAGGGGAGCTCAGGCAGTCGGGTTCGGGGTTCTGATGGGGCTGCAATGCGGATCGGGGGAGGACGGGTAGCGATCGGGATTGGGAAAGGCGATGTGGATCGAGGTCGGGGCGGGATATAAGTCGTGGCGATGTCGGATGGGATGGGGGACCGGAGGTGGGCGAGGTCGGGGTCGGGGAGGAACAATCAGGGGGGCTCAGGTGGTCCCTGGAGTAACGGGATAGGGGGGCAGGATCGGGGGATGGCGATGTGGATCAGATCGAGATCGGGGGGGCAGGGCGGGGGATGAGTAACGACCGGTTTGGAATGGCGGTGTGGATCGGGGTTGGGGAACCGAAGGTGGTCGAGATCGGGGTCGCGGGGGGTGGGGCTTCGAGCAAGCTCAAGAGCGACAATCGGGATCGGGGGGGCGGCAAGGGGGGCTCAGGGGATCAGGGGGCAGGATCGAGGGATGGGGATGAGGAACAGGGGGGAGGCCCCAAAAGGCGATCGGGATCGGGGAGCAGGGCGCGTTTTGATGTCAGGTGGGACGGGGAGCCGGCGTGGCAAGCTCAGGATAGATCAGGGGTTGGGGGGAGAGCTCACTGACGACGATCGGGATCTCGGGGAGGCGAGAGGTTTAGCTCAAAAGGCGACGATCAGGATCAGGAGTGAGGGGAGATTAGATGTGGATGAATCGGGGTCGGGGGGGAACCGGGGGGGAACTCAACGGCGACGATCGGGATCAGGAGGAAGGCGAGGGGGCCCAAATATGGATCAATCGGGGTCGGGGGGGAATTCAGAAGCGTCGATCGGGATCGGAGGGGTGGGGGGAGGGGGGCTCGAGGGTGACCAGGATCAGGCGGCAGAAGGGAGGCGGGGGGCAGGAGGGGCGATCGAGATTGGGGGCAGGGCGATGATAATCAGGGAAGAGAGCAGAGGAACGGAGGGAAGGGAAAAGGTGGAAGGAAAAGAAATGGAGAGCGGGTGTGGGAGGAGGAGGAGAGCGGGGGGGAGACGACGGTGTTAGCTGCTGTGAGGGATCTGGACGTACCTCCGGACCCTTTCTCTTCCTTCACCGGGATGAAACCCAGGGCACCAAAGGATAAAGATCCAGTGCCAAGAGTGTCTCTTCGCTCACGCGATTCCTTGTCCACCGTGCCGTTGTCGTCCTCCCGTTGTGTAGATGCGACACGCTGCCTGGATGCTCCACTGTCACAATCTTCCCTCCGAATGCTCCACTGTCACAATCTTCCTACCGAAATCCCCTCCACTGTCACAATCTTCCCACCGAAATCTCCTCCACTCTCCGCCTTGAAGTTATCACCCGTGCGTTTGTCGTCCCTTCGTTTCTTAGACGCCTCGCAAGTAGTGCAACTTTCGCCCTCCCATTGTCTAGATGCTCCACGCTGCCTGGATGCCCTACCGTCGTAATCTTCCCACCAAAAATCCCCTCCACTATACTCTCCTTCCTTCCGCTTCCGTTGCACCCACAGAGAAAGACTTTTGCTATGGATGTCGTCGCGCCTCAAAACCAAGCCACGCAAGGGAAATCTTCTTCTACGTGGCCTGAATATGAGCCATGTCGCCGCCCTTGCCTCTTTGAAGGTCACCGTCCACCCTGCCGCTTTCCTGATGTAAAGAACCTCCCACTATCGCGGCTATGGCGTCCAGCCAGTGCCACCTCCCCGCCGCGGGCATGCCGTGACGTCGGCACTGAAAAAGCGCGAAAGGCCACTCTACGCGTTCACTTTCTGTGTTTGGGGCAAACATTTGATACCCCATTTGCTGCTTTTGCCACTTTCCCTATCTTACTGGCCCAACCATCAAATTTTAGTTATTTTGCCATAAAAGGCCCTAGTGTCAGTAGGCCCTAAGCTCGGTAATGGTCCCACAATTGCTTCTTTTTTGGGTTGTTGGTTGAGGGATTCCCGGCCTCACTTTTGTTTTTGAAAAACTAAGCTATATTCTTCTCTCAATTTCACCTTTCACTCATCTACCTATCACTACTCCTAAGCCTGTACAGGGGACCCTCGCAAGCATATCGGGGAGATCCGAGGCTCAATTTTCTTGAAAGTGTTCTTCTTTGTGTAAGTTGGGATGTGCCAGGAAGAATTACGAGTGCGGTAGGTTGGGAGGGAGTCTCATAGGAATAGGGCCCTCTATATGGACCATAGTGATAGCCTCATGGCCGATTACTGAAGGTGACTGTCATATGTCCAGAGCCTGACCTCTACAACAACCTGGGTTT